TGCAGAAAGGGCAAGGAGTGAACGACACACGGGTGAAGGGAGGAGGTGGCTGAGGTGACAGCTGGAAGCAGAAGAGACAGATAAGGGCAAAAAGAGAAAATGTTCAGAAAGAAAAACTTCCCAGTGCTGGAGCTTTAAAGACTGAAAAAAGGGAGGAAACCAACCAACCAAAAAACACAGCTCGATTTTTTTTCCCAGGAAAAAAAACTACAGAAAAGATACAACGAAAAACAGAAAAAGCCCTGACAATGCTCACTTCCATATTTGATTTCCTCCAACTCTGTTTTACCAGGATGGAGCCCCCTTCCACACCAACACACACGAGGCTGAACCAAATGCTGTGCCAAGGCTCTCTAAACAAAGTCTCCGGACACCTTTCAATTTGTCCTATGCCTGTATGAGAGATGTGTGCTGGCAGGTTTTTTTAATAATACCCCGTGCTACCAAGCACAAATCATAACATGTTCCCAAGGATGGCTCCTTCTCAGACTGCAGTGGACAAGCCCAGGAGTGTTGGTGCCAGGAACAAACCCGGTGCAGGCACAACTGCAGGGCTCCAAGCAGCGTGCCAGGGCCACCTGCCTGCACGCCACAATTCAAGGTAATGTGCAAATGAACTGCCCCAAAGTGAATCATTACCTGAATTTCAAATTCCCTTCTTGCTTTTCCTTCCCAGGCAAGGCATGATAAGAACAACAGTACAATGCCTGCCGTAGGCTTATCCCTGAGATGGGAATCAAAAACTGTAGAGCCCTGCCACAGGAGAGCTATTTGTGCAGCACATGCTGTTTTGAATGGACAAAGATGACAGCTCCTTAAAAGACTGTCACTCTACTGCTCTCATAGTATGAAGTTAAAAAAGCAAGTCCAATACTTATCCCCTCTATTATAGAAATGGCTTAATTTGAGGGGAGAAGGAATCTTTGTGCTATTTTCCCCAACTACGACCACGCAAGTTTTTTTCTTTTGCAGAATGATCTCCAAGCTCTCATTACTGCTGGTCTAAAACGTTTATTCCTGCCTACTCAAATCTGCCAAAAGAGAAATGAATCATATGTCAATAAAACTTGGGGTCCTGAACATGTGTTTTGGAATTAATCTTAACAGAGAAATGTGTGAATCTGAGCACAGCCACGGCAAGGGCTGCCAACTTCATTCATGGTAATTAAGCAAAGCCACACACATTTAAGGGGATATTTAAGGAGCGCAGAGCGTTCCTATGGGGACTGGACTCAGTGCTCCTCCATGAGCAGCTACTGCACTTTAGAAACACTCTAATTATCCTAGAGAAGGAAAAAAAAAAGTCATCCAGAACTACTAGGGATAACGAATTTGGCAGTACCTGCACTGACATTTCCTACAAGGAGTCAGACCTTCTGCATATTTGTTGGCCTTGATCATATACTGGGCAGCAGCTCACCTGTGCCTCCGCTTTGAACACAATCCCACCAAATTCTGTACACACTTTCCAAACAAAAAAACGTGCTTCTGTACAGGCACAGTCTTTCACCTGATGTTTAGCATTGTGTTATCTCCTTGCCCTGGTTCCTCCAGAGGACTGATCGCCCATATTCAGCTTCTCTGCTGACTCAACAGGCTCCTGGTATAACAACTGTATGCATCCTGGTACAATGAGCAGCCTGGTTCATCCGACTGGCTAGACCCAAGGTAACTTTCAGGCTGTCTGTTAACAAGCAGCTCTGTGAGGGGGTAACGGAGATGTTCTGGCACCAAACACACCATGCCTGTGCCCACCCGGGAGCTGCACACCCCCAACGCACAGCTTGCAGGAGCTTATCCCAGTACAACCCCAGTGTTACTGTGGAGTTACTGCTGCAGGAGCAGGACCATGCCTCAGTGCACTGCTGGCACCCATTCATGGTCCTGTGCTGAGGTACAGCCCCACCTCTGGGCTTGATGGGGCTCACAGTGAGGGTGGGACCAGGGCTCAGCACCTGTCCTATCAGCACGTACCTTGGCAATGGTTTCCAGGTAGCAAAGCAGATGGTTATCTTAGCTGAGCCCATTTAGGATGCTTTCCCTGCTCTTCTGCAAACCCTGTCCTGTCCCGCCCCACCAGGATGAATCAAAACCCTTCTCCTCAGCTCCTGCCGCCTTGATTCACTTCCCTCCATCTCACCACGCTTCAGTCTATAAATGCCAGCTAGAAAAAAAGAAAAACCACCACATATTTTCTGTCTTCCATCTTTACATTTCTTATCTACGCCAGTCTATCTTTCTCTCCCTCTGTGGCTGGTTTTACAAGCACCTGTTGCAGAGCTTTCTTCCATGCGGGCTCCATCACTGGTGGCGGAGCTGCTGCCAGCTGCTGCTCAGCCTTGCAGCCCCAGGCAAGCCAGCCCAGCCTGGAAAGTTTTCATCACCTAATCATCAGGGCAGCACCACGGCAGCTCTGTCTGGCTCTCAGGAAGCCCATGATAACTTCTGGAAAATAAAGTACCAGCACTGGTGGGTTGTTCTGTCCCAGTCTATCCTGATCTCACTAGACAGAATGCACTTGGGCAGCCCCAGGTTCAACCAACATGAAGTGAATAAAGGCTGCTCCACAACCAACCAAGCAAAACAAAGAGAAGTATTAAAAAGAAAAAAAGTCAGCATGTCAAATCTATCATATCAAAGGCAGAATCTTTCAATTGGCAAACAAAAATTACAAATTTCTAGCCTAAGCATTACTGCTATTGAAAGGCATTAAAATGCAGATTTTCAAAGTAATAAGCTTTATTGTTTTACTGCTTCCAAGATTTATTTTAACCCTTTGATCAATGCTTTTATCTTTAATCTGCACAAGCAGAAAATGAACCTTAGTCAATGAGCTTTAAAACCTTATCAGTGAGAAAACATGGAAAAATGATACAAAACATCCTCGCTGGATGTCCTGGTACAAGCACTGCTATTCTCTTTGCAGTCTGCCAGTTAGCTAGTGCCCAGCCAGAAAGAACAAGGAAATATGAGAAGACACTTAACTAAAGCCACAAAACAAGGCACTTATCTGACTGAGATGCAAAGGATTTTTTGGTTAAATTAAGATTTGACTTGATCTGCTTGCTATCTTATGGAAAAAGTCTTGTAAGGTTAAGCCTGCCCATTCACAGGGAGTTTTCTTTTTCTCGTTAATTTTATAAAAATCAAAATGCCAATTCCTGCATAAATAATTTAGCTGAAATCCTGCTGGAGCAGCCAGCACTGCTGAAAGCAGCAGCAGCTTTTCAGTGAAACTTTGGAGAGGCCGGAGGAAGGGCTGGCTCCAGGCCAGGCACGTGAAGGCTGAGATGGTCTTGGCGAACCAGGGTAGGCATTAGCTGTGCGGTGACTCCAGGTTACTAATAAAGAGATGCAGAATGCACAGACGTGTTTGTCATGCAAAGGCAAAGAAAAAAAAAAAAAAGCAAGGCTGCATGGTATGAGTCACGAGAGGATAAGAGGAATGCAAAGAGACCTCTGTCCTCAGATATATCAATGCTGAGCCCATGATGAACCACCAATACCAAAAAGAAAAAAATAATCATGTGTATTCATGAATAAACATTTGGGAAAAAAGGTGGTGAGGGGAACCCAAGAATATCTGTTCTTGTTTATTTTCCTTATGCACGTTTGCCCCTGCCCCTCCAACCATCATGCAAAGCAGACCCCAGCACAGACACCAGGGAGCCCACAGTTTTCACTGGCACTCAATTTTCAGAGTTTTCCTTTTTGCATGAAAAAATGTCCTGGCTAATCTCATAATGCTACTGTTTCTACTCCAGCAAATCCAGCCAGCTCTCCTCCAGTTATCAGGGTCTTGCTTTTCTTCTCCCAGAGCTCTGAGGAAGCACAAAGCTCTCTCCAGTTGCTGTGCACCCAGAGCTGGGCAGAGACCTCACTGATTGCACACAAGCACTGCCTGGCTGGCTTTTCTTCCCACCAGCACCCGATGACAAGTTCCCACTCCAAATCATCCTCTCAGACCCACTATAAACCAGAGGCAAGGTCAATAATTTCTTCATCTCATCCAACACTTGTGGCTACGACACCCTTTTGTGGACACACAAAAATCAAAGGACCTGTGAACTGTCCGTGTTCACATGGGGTTTTTGATTCAGCAAAGGCTCTAAGGCCTAGAAAATGCACTCCCACAGCTGGTGACACACAGACAGGGGCAACCGTGTTAGACCAACCTTCAGCAATACTCCCATCCTCAGCACAAACAGGTAGGACACCCATGCCTAGCTCTTGGCTTAGCTTTTTACCTGGTCACTGCAGGTGATGGTGCTAAAAGCAAATCTGGTAGCTAAGGGCAGGTCCTGGTTGCAAAGCTCAGACCTCAGAGCTCCTTCCCTTGCTGCAGAGGAGGTGGCACTGCCCAGTGCCCTCTCTTGAGAGGACCCTCTGCACCCTTCTCCCATCCCACCCAGACCAAACTGCAGACCCAAACCTGCAAGCATGCAGCAGGCCATGTACATCAGATATAATCTGCGGCAAGTTTAATTTCCTTCAGGGACACAACACAAATAAAATTATCTTGCAATTTTTTGCTCTGGGATAGATTTGTCTTCCATATACCTTCTTTGCATCAGATCATTACTGAACTGGTGCCAGTGGTTCTCCATGTGTACAACCACAGGAGTGACCCAGCTGAGACAGTGTCACTGCAGCGTCTGGGAAGAGATGCAGGTCACTGCAGCGACAAGAAAGATCTTCCACAAGATGAAGATTTCCAAAGCAGTTTTGATTTGTTCTCATTAGAGCTGACATAGATCTTCTGTCATTCCACCTCCCCTGAATATGAAAGAAGGCAGCTCCTCTACCTCACTGCAAAACAGCTACAAGGGCAGTTACAGGCCCAACGTTATTTCAACCCAGCAGATGCTGTATTAACAAGATGATGATGACTAATCAGAAATAGTATCAACTGCCAACAAGCAAAGGAACTATATATACACACACACAAAAAAAAAAAAAAGTGAGAAAAAACGTGGCAATAATCTGATAAATTCTGTTACCTGAGAACTAGGAACAAGGGCTTTCCACCAGTGACCGCCTTTCACAAGGTCTACATCACTCAAGGGCATTGACACTTTGCCAATAACACAGTGGCGTGAGAATTTGTCAAAATCCACTACGGTTAAAAGCAGAGTTCTTCTCTGGGCTTCTAAAAATGGGATTTCAAATGTGTACCTCTCTTCAAACACTGGGTTCTGAGTTTTGCGCTTAACTCCGGTCTGCTTGGAGTTCTTCTGGTCTGGAAGCAGGCAGATCTTCACGTAGGGGTTGGAGTGAGCCATATCTTGCCTGGAGCCATCATACGAAATCGGGGGAGGCAGGTCCTTAGCCTCAATGACTCGCACTATTAGGTAATTATGCAACAGGTCATACTGAGTGCTGAAGTGCAGCATGCCCAGCTGGTACTTTGATAAGATTTCCTCATCTGTCAAGGAGTCCATATCATCGCTATTCGAGTCAAGAGAGTACAGTCTTGGTTCAAATTTTCTAAAATAGTCATCTGGGCTATAGGTTTTCCGCAGGATAGTTGGCTGAACTATTTCTTTCTTGGCTCCTATTATTCCAAACTCAATAGGTTTAATGTCAATTAATGGAGAACTTGGCCTCCTCGACTCTAAACCTAAATGAGAAAAATGCACAAAAATGATTATTAGAAACTCAGTTCATTACAGACCCAAGTCACATTGTGGCTCTTTGAGTTCAGCTATTCTGCATCTATACAATGCCTCACACAGCAAACATTGCTAAGTGGGACTTTTCACCATTACATTTGCAAACAATTAACAGTACCCTTAGTTATGCTGCAGTGCAACCTCAACTACAATTTTTTCACCTTGTCTATTTTCACCATGCACATGCTTCAGCAAAAAAAACAGGGCTGACCCCTTCCATTGTGCTCCTATAGAGCTTGATGAGATTTTTATCAATGTACCTTCAACTCTACTTGATTCCCTGTCTAAGAGATGAAAGAGCAGGCAATACACTCTGATTTTTATTTTTTTTCCCCACAAGAATTACATTAATGTTGGAAGGACGACCTTACTTGAAATCCGCCTGGTGAGGCTGTAAGTGGACCGTGATGCATCTGAAGACGACCGCCTTCTGTCAGGGGAAACATCCTGAAGAGTGGGAGGCAGTTCACTGATTGTATTATCAGAGTCTCCATCTTTGTCCTCATTTTGGCTGCTTATCCTGTTATAACGAGAGACCTTTAGGTGATTCAGCCCAGTAAAAGGACAATATACAGAATAAAAATGTATTCAGATATTCTGTGTCTAATCTTGTGTGCACATCCCTGGGTGCCGCAGGGTATCTCCTTCATATCTATTTGGCAAGCAAAAGGCTGAGCAACTGACTTCATGTCTATGTGAAAGGGAGATGCTTTATCTTTCTGCTTGCCTTTCAAACAAGAGCATCAGCACGAGCGTGTGACACAGGCTACAGAGGCACGTGTGACTTGGACCTCAATCAGCAATAGTAAATTCAGCTTTGAGGGGGGAAAAAAAAAAAAAGCCCTCATAACATGAGCTTATTGCTGTAAATCCAGAGCCACCCTTTGGAAGCATGGCCATCACCAGGAAATAACTAGCATGGGAGCCACCATGATGCTCAGACACCTGAATCCCTCTCTGAGTAAAATATTACTTTGCAATACAACAGTAAGGTTTCAAAACTCAGTAAGTAGGATTAATTAACAGCTATCTATTGACATCTTTTTAAGTAACTGGTTCCATAAACCAGAGGTGACTCTCAAAAGACAGGAATTTTACTGCCCAGTGGTCTTGGTGAGGGAGGAAAGGGACAGAGGGAAGTCAGCAGGATCTCACTAACAAAGTAAATGTCAGTGAGAGCTGTAGCATCCTTGAGAAGACTCAGTAGGAGACTGGGATCATAAAGAAGCCTGCATAAAATTCCTATCTCAGCTTAGTTTTCATCTATTAGAGCAGTTCAGTTAAACATCTCAACTTCTCACAGCTGCGGTGGTTTGCACCACTGGCCAGGGCCTCCCAGCTTTGTCTGGAAGAGCAAGAGCCAGCAGTAACCCAGCTGCACCTTCTGAGGTGAGCCACTGCTAGAAATCTGCAGGTGGAAATGAAATCAAGCAATGGTATGAGACATGTAAACCATCATGCTAAACTAATCCATGAGACAGAGTACTCAGAAAAATAGCAGCAGATCACAAGGAAAGCATCAGCGTGAAATGAGCAAAGCAAGGGGAACACTGCTTAAGCCTCGCTCCTGAGATTCACTCATCCTATGTTCATGGCCAGGTTGGGTATAAATGAAGTATGTTGAATCATTTGCTCTAGCAATCAGTGACTGAACTAGAGCAATAACAATGTTCTGGAAAAAAAAAAAAAAAGAAGTTGGAAACTCATAGAAAAGCCCCCCTGAATATAAAATAGACTTAAACCTAGAATTTCTTATTAAAATTCACAAAATTCCCATCAGGATCTAGCATACATGCAAATACTCACCAACCCAGACTCACACAACTCATCCACATCAAAAAATAAATCACGTCAAATCAAATCTAGGAATCAAAACAAAACCCTATATTAAAGAGGGCATGCAGTATTTGCACAATCCTGCAGCCCCTTAAAGGCAATCCAAACCATGCAGTTTGACATACAACCAGCACTAGGAACACAAATAGCTTTTTCATGCCCAAATGCAGGTCTGCAAATCATATGTAGCATTTGGACATCTTTGTGTTTGAGAAGCAAATGCACAAAATGAGGAGAAGGCAGGGTGAAAAGGGAATCAGGAAGAGAGGCATTAAAGATGTTCTACAATGGGTAAACGTAATAGTGAGTTAATAACGTACAGATGACCTTTAGTAAGGAAATTGCTACTGAGCCACAATAATTTTTCCTCAAATAAACTTTGGCTCTGGTTAAAGCAGCTCTGTTTCTGTTTAATCAGAGCCTTTGGGAAGAGGAGTCGCGTTCTGATTTCAATTTAATCTCACAGAGTGTGCAGCATTTATCTTTGGGTTTTTAGGGAGAATACTCCATAACAGGCAGTGCTGACAAACACCCTCCTTCCCGGCCCATTTTTGCCAGGACTGGGATGCAAGCACTCGTGAAATAAGCAGCAGCAGCTACCATGCATTCAGGTCAATACAATTAGCCTCAATTCAGTAAGATTTTATTTATTTATTTATTTATTAAGTTGCTACTGGAGGCTACTATAAAAAATTCAGGAAGTGAGAAAAATCAACAGCCTCCCAAGAGAAAAGATTTCAGCTTGCAGCTTTAGAGTCCGCTCCTGAGTTTCCAGGACATCAGGTGTCTCACAGCTGCCAAAGGGAAAACCTTTGGCAAAACACAAAGGACAAGCTATCAAGCATGGGCATTCAGGTGTTTGCTAAGTAGGCAAATGAAGACCATAAAATTAGTTCTTCCCTAGGGACTGAGTGGGGAAGTAGGGAAGGAACACACTGCACTCTCTATGTATCTGCATCCTGGGTGCATGAAGAAGTGGCAACAGTGAAAGATCTCAGCAGAAAACCTGGATCTGGTTGTTAAACACTTGCAGGCTGTGAGCAGGGAATACAATAGATTTGTTCCCAAATTCAATGCATGTATCTAAATGCAGAATAGTGTTATCCAATCCACCTTCCATTTGAGAGGTTTCCATTGAATCTAGAAGCCTTCTTTAAAAAACAAATTAAAAAAAAAAGTGTGTGTGTATCAATTAGCATACACGGATGTCTGAGCACTTTAAAAACACACCCATTAAACATGTTATGCTGAGACCAATTCCCAACCCCTGCTCTGCTCACACATCTAACCCCAGATATTGTCTCCTACCTCCAAAAACACATAAGGAGATTGAAAAGTGTAAGATTAACAAAATGAAAGTAAAAACCTTCAACTTGAGAGCTGTAAGCCAGCCGAGGCTGCACAGCATCATTTCCACCTTAAATCCACATGCACAAACAGCGCAGCCCTCCTATTGATCTGCGAACAAAATACATCACTTCTGTCTCTTGCCTTTTACTCTCCCTTCCTCTTCATTTTCCAGACTCTTGCTTCTCTACAGTTATCTTCTCCCCTTTCCTCTCAGTTGCATCTCTTCAGCTCCTTTCTCACCTCCTCACTCCAGCCAGTTGGGGCTGCCTCACTGCTTTCCAGCAAGGTCACCCCAGAAGCTTAAAGCATCACCATCCTTCCTGGCAGCCCCCTGGGGTCCATCCCTGCTGGGGAGCAGGAGCCAGAAGCCTTCTTCAGCAAGCAGAGCCCTACAACAACGTGTGTCAACAGCCACGCTTAGAGATCACAAGATTTATAGTAGTAGCAGAGGAGATGGTGATTCAGTCATCCTAAGGCACGACAGCATCCATTGCCTCCACTCCAAGCACAATTACTTGGTTCCTGCCTGCCCTTCCCAGGCACTAGCTTTGGAAACTTGCCTCCTCTCATTGCTACAGCAGAAAAGAGAAGCCCTAATTGTACCAGGCTGCCTGAAGCTGAAAGGAAAGAGAGATGTGACACTAAAGGCACAGTCCTGGGACATGACCCAGGCTGGGGGCTCCTAAGTCCGTCAGTAAGTGCAGCATGAAGCATGATGCGGCTGAAGAACTGGGCTTTTTTTCCTAAGTGTGCTGCCTCCTGCTTTTGGTCACTGTAAGAAACTAACCACCGAGGCTTTCAGATGGACCGGGGGAAAATAATACAGGCTGGAGACAGCATTTTGTGAGTCCAAAGGTCACCGTGTTTTCAGCCTGCGGCAAAGTCCAGCTCATCCACAAAGTCACCACATGCCTGAGTTTTCAGGCCACAAGAGGAGCAGAGCCTCCATGCTGACAGTGCCTAGGAGGCAGACAGAGGAGCCAACAGCCCAAACCCATGGGGCCAGTCACCCCCCACCTGCCCGTTGTGTCCCTTCTGCTCCCCAGCCCAGCAGAGCAGCTCTGAAGCACCCTCTCACACCAAGCCTGGCTGCTTGTTCCCAGGTATGTAATTGTTTCTGCAGCAATCTTTCTACGTCCAATACTGCTACCTCATCACTGTGTTCTCTTGTGCCCAAATGCTTTCCTATTTAGCATTGATTTTGCTTCCATTTCCCACTAATTGCAGGTGAATCCATTTCTGGGCATGTATCAGACTCTTAAATACGCTGCTCCAAATTTAAAAACCACTCTAACACATCTCGAACATTTCTATTTTTATTGCTTCAGTATTAATTACCATCCTATTCTACCATGATTCAAGAAGGTATAGAGACAAGACTGTGATTTAAACATGAGACAACTTATTTCGTGCAGCCACAGCACGCAGACCTTCCAGACCTTACAGAGTGGGTGAAATTAACCGAGGGCCTTAGTGCCCAGGCACAACATCTCAGCAGCGTGTGACGTGCTAAACAGGCAACTCCTGTGCCCTAGTTTCTGGACACGGTGAGGTTTAGCCATCTCCATCAAGTTCTCTGCCCTCACAGAAGACAGCCCGGCCCAGCAGACAGAGCCAGCACTAAAATCCAGGAGACCTCTATTTTCTTCCTGGTTTCACTAATGCCTCCACAGCCACCTCTGTGATTCCCCAAGGAGAGGGTGTAAAATGGGGAAGACATCACTGCCTTTCTTCAAAGCACCAGGTAAAGCCAAGAGTTGTCACTCTTGTTCTTTACTGATTCAAGAGGAAATCTTGAAAAGTACTAAGGTGACGTAAGAGATCAGGTCTTGCTAAATGAACCATCAGATGGATTTCCTCTTAGAACACGTAGGAGGTATTCCTTTCATCTTCCTAGGTTATGACCATCTTAATGCCAAAACAAGAAAATTTTCTGTAACAACCTCATCAGCATTTCAACTAAGCTAAAGTGTTCCAAAGGCTGAGCATGTGCAAAGTAGGACTTTGGAAGAAAAGTATTTTTAGATGCCAACTCAACATGCTATGCTAGCTTACAAGCTAACTTCTGTTTTACCTAGCAGAAAGTGTTCTCCAGATTCCCATTATTATTTGAGCTAATGGGACTGCTGTTTTTTTACCATTGAGTAGCCTACGCTCCCACCCTCAGCAGGAGACCCTTCCTTAGGGTATGGCATCCTCTGAACTCTGAAAGTCCTCTCACCATTTCGTATTAACTCTCCCACCGCAGCTGAACAGCCCTACCCTTCAGTTAGGGCTGTGAGATTGTGCATCTAAACTTACAGCCAGGCTGGAGTCTGAGCAGGAAAAGGTCCCAGGATTTCAACTTCATCTTCATTTGTTTGACAACAGCTACAGTCGAAACACTTCTGACAACAATTTCTACAAGTCCACCGGCACAGCAAGAGATCCGAGATCCTAGCGAGCAGACCCTGAAGCCATTGGAAACCAAAGTACAAGATTACAACCCATCAATAGCTATTGAAAAATAACATTCAGCTGTATTTATGTTTGTGTTTCTGCAACAGCACATATTTATTTATAAAGAACTATATTTATTCCCTCTATATCAACAGACAAGTGCTGTGCAGTTACTAGTCCAACTTCAGGGATGCCATAACAAGGCAGGAAAATAAGCGTTCATGGCAGGTACTTTCCCTCTGGTAGCGATGTATTATTACATAGGTTGGCAAAAGGGTGATTTGCAAAACACTATGGCGTAATGACATGCTGGAGTGGAATCATGCTCGTTCTACCACGCACATCAACAAACTAATAGATAGGCAAATGTATAACAAAAGGAATTTAAACCAGAAGGTAAGTGAAAGCCCCAACTTAATTCTGCAAGAGTCTATTTAATTTGAAAAGCTTAACATAGCAACATGAATACATTCCATCCCTGTAGATACATCAGCATGTAATATTCATATGATCCATTCGCATACAGCATTACAGCCCAACAAATTCACCGCCAAAATGGATTAGCAAAAGCATACTGTCCGCATTCCTCCCCTCTGCTAGGACGATTAACTTAATGAAGAACCTACAATGATTATTTTTTTAAAGTTACTTATCCTAAAAAGTATTTCATTTCTGAGGTTTCCATGGTGGCACCAGGAGCATTTCCTGTAGCAGCGCTCCTCTGCTTTCACAAACCCGTCACATGCCCCATCGGAGGGAGGACAGATACTGCACCATGCCCACACCATCCCTGCAGCCTTCCTCCCGCTTCAAAGCTCTGCTTGCTTCAAGTGGAGCAGAAAGCCCAAACTGAGGCCATCTCCCACCCATGGCAGCTCCCATTCTGCAGTAAGAGGCCTTACTGAGCAGCACCGGGCCACTGCCAGTGAAGGGCATCGCTCTGTGGTCCTGGAGGACACACAGCTGCGAGAGCACTGCACGTCCCCATCCAGAGTGGAATCACTTTACAATTGTATGGGAACTTGGAAAGTTCATTAGAAGCTGAAGAAATGAAGCACGTGAGCGTTTCTCCACAGATATCCCCCAAAAGTACTTGGTACAAGGGCGCTATCACACTGCAAAAAGGATGTGATTTCTCTTGGGAATGCAGGTCTGCAGAGAAGACTCCACAGGAACATCTTTCAAGCTTCAGTAAAACAGTTTTTCCATAAACAAAATCTGAGCCTTGCAAAAAGTAAAGTAAATTAAAAATTACCAGCCCTGAATGTGGTGCATTACTTATATCTAGGACATCAGTAAAGAGTCAGAAAATACGAGACAATCCCCTCAGGATGGAGCGAGGAGACAGAGCAGAGAGTGAATCATCAGATTAACTCACCTCATTTATTGGTTCCAACTGTCCTTTTAGACATCCATGATGAAGCAAAGGGGAACAAAATGAAAGAGACAAAAACAGGTTAGCAATGCTCAAATAACTTCAAATGTTCTGCCATGGTGTGCCCCAGACTGGGACAGGCTTTTATTTCTGGCAGGACGGTCAACATTCGGCAGAGGCAAGGTCTCCTGGGCAGGCATCGGCTTCTACTGCTTCCAGCCCTGTCCCGCTAAGCTCCCTCTGCTTCCCGAGGAGTGAAACTCCCAAATCCATCCCGAAGCACAAAAATCCTGCTCAGTGCCACCTTGCTAAAGGGCTATCATGTGCGACCACTTTGCTTTTTCCTAATAACCTGTCTCTAATTGCAGCCGACAGCGAACCGCATCCAAACGTTGCAGTTACACGCCGCGGTGGAAAAGGCTTTCATCCAGATCCTGCCCTTATCAACAGAGCTTCAAGGGCAGCTCGTTAGAGGCAGCATTTCTAGGAGCGCCTCTCCGTTGTGCACGCATCACTCGAGGTAGCCGGGCTTCTTCAGCCTCAGCCTCCGACTTGACTCGGAGGAGAGAAGACCCAAAGTCAAGTGCTCAAAGCCTGCGTCGTGCACTCCAGCTTGAACACTTGCACTGCAGCCACTTCCCTGAAGGCACAGAGAAAATCTACAGCAAAGGAAGAAATTATCGCAATCCAGTGTTTTAATCACGAAGCCATCCTTGCAACATTATACCTACCTTGCTTCAGTTACAACTGGAGATTTAGCAGCATTTCATGTGCCTGCTGAAATGCTTTTCCTACCTGTCTCTCTGCTAATGATTAAGAGTTTTTTAATTGTGCTGGCTGTCCTTCTGTAAAAGGGAAGCCCTTAAAAAAAAAAAGCAGCAAAACCAAAACTCCTCTTCCCTACCCATCCATGTGTACAAAGCTATGCTCAGGGACAATATGGACAAGAGACGGCTTCTATGAAGAAGCCAGGATGCCTAAGATGAGTTCAGATCCAAGATCACTTCCACGGGCTGCCCTCCAGCACAAGCCTCCCTTCCAAACTTCTCCAAAACCAGTGCCTGGCAGGAAGGCTGCAACTCGTTTGCAACAGAAATTAGAGACTGAAAACGCTGCAGTGCAATGTGACGAGAGCGATTAGATACCCGCGGACCAACTGGTTAAGGAAATCTTGAATGGTTTAAAGGGCTCATCAGTCCTTATTAATGCGAACTTGCAGCCAAGGTGCCGCAGCCAAAGCGGCGGCGGTTTAGCGAAGCTGCAACAAGAATATTTAAATTGCTGTAAAATGAACCTGCTGGATTCCTGCCACGCAATCAAACGCCGTAGCACGCACCGTGCAAAAGAGGTGGTATTTCTGAGCAGCCCGTGGGGACTTGAGGCAGGCTGGTGTCACACAGCCGTGCTGGAGGCCACCACCGGCCACCAGTTAAGGGTGAATGCTCGCGTGTGTCACCAAGCCACAGAGCACAAGTGCCACAGGCAACATAACAGTGACTCTGTGATCACCCCGAAATCTCCACCAGGAGAGGGGAGGGCAGAAATAACAAGAGCTAGGCATTACTGTGCAAACGGGCAGCCAAGTCAGCAGTGCCATGCAGGGTATAAGGGCAGGGACCCATGAAAGGAAAGCAAACAGGAGCAGCTGCGTGCATCCACCTGGGTGGCACGGGGCAGGAGGTGGGTGCTGGGGAAGGGCAGAGGCTTGCAGAAGGATGTGACAGAAGGCAGTAGGGGGCCGGCACCCCCAGCAGCACCCACGGGAGGGAAATCTGCTCCAAGCCAGCACTCAGAGCAGGGTTAAGGCACACGATGGTGTCCCCCAGTGATGCTGGGATGGGGTCTCCATCAGTGATGGCTGTGTTGTGCCCCTCCTGTGGCACCCAGCACGGCAGTGTGGGGACAACAAGGTCCCCCCAGCCCCACCACCCCAACTCCACAGCCTGGGGACAAGGGGGTGACCACCGCGAGCACCAGCCCAGGGGTGCTGCCGGGGTGGTCCCCAAGACCCCTGCTCCACAGGGGGATGGCAGGGGGGGGAATGGTCACAGATGGTGGGGGACAGCGGGGGGCTCTAACAGAGCTCCAGCTCCTGGACGTCTCATCCAGCTGGAAACGCTCTGCTCATCTTTAAACTGGGGGTGCAGCCTCCGGAGCCACAGAGATTGAAAAACAAGCGGCTGGAAACTGCAGGGCCGGAGGGACAAAATCGCTCCGGATTTTACAAAAACCGCCCCAATTCAGTCCAGCCTTACCGGGGGCTCGGGCTGGCCGCAGCCGGGGGCGCTCGTTTTCCCCCTTCTTCCCCAGCCTCTACCGGTCCATGCCCAGGCTGGGGGGCTCCCAAAGTCACCGCCACCCCCCGGGTTTCCTGCGGGCTTCGGCAGCCCCCTCTGGCTCAAGGCACCCAGTCCTCCGGGGGGGGTCTCCCGCAGCCGGAGCCACCCCGCTCCTACGGACGGACAGAGCGGGGCTGTCTGCGATGTCCGGAGCACCACGAAAAGCCGGGGTCTCGCTGCCAGCCCCCCGCCCTCCTTGCCCGGAGCCCCCAGAAGTTCCCCCAAAGTTGCGCGCACCCAGCGCGCTGCGCCCCAGCCCCGCAGACGGCGCCTACAGCGCACGGAGACCCCCCCTTTGCCCCCTCCCAGACCCCCTCCAGGCCGGATTCTCCCCCTCAGCACCTTGGCTCCGCACCCACCTGGATGTACGCCATCTTCCGCGGGGCTCCGCTGCGCCGCGCTGCGCCCCCCGGCACGGCACGGCACGGCACGGCACCGCCCCGGGCGGGGAGGGGGCGGCCACGAAGGCACCGCGGGGCTGGGGGGCGCCGTCAGGGCGGGGAGAGCCGCCACCGAGGCCCCCCCATCCCCGGCTCGTCGGGAAAATGCGAGGGGGCTTCGTGCTCTGAGGGGGGGGGAGCCGGCGGGCGGCCACCCGGCACGGCTCGGCACGGATCGGCGCTGCCCGCGGGTGCAACAGGTCCGCCGCAGCACGGGCAAACACTGACCTCCAGAGGGCCCGGCGTGGAAATTCAGGGCTGGGAAGCCCTCCTCGGCCCCCGGGGGGACGCTCGGGAGAAGCCCAGGGATGTAAGTGTGGAGCTGGCGTGGCCGCGCTGGGTAACGCGGTTGTTGCGCCTGTGCTTTCCCCCGAGGAGCTGACGGTAAGAGATGTCCTAAACGCACCTGAGCTGTGACAGGGACGCGGTTGTTGCAGGAGGTTAAGTGCACGGAGTTATAGCACGTACGCTCGCGTCTCCCCGGGTGAGGAGGAGCTGGAGGAAGGTGCCCACAGTCCCTGCTGAGCATCGCTGCTTGGCTTCGTGCCCACCTGCTGAGAGGTCAGCCCCCAGGCTGAACAGGGGGCATGGGATGCAGCCCAGTGGTGGGACCTCTCGGGCAAACCCCACCGAGCAGGTGGCTGGGCCTGGGTAGCATTTAAAGGGAGCTCAGTTAGGGAAGCGGCCCATTTTGAGGTCAATCTCCCAAAAATGAAATCTCAGGAAAGGTGGAGATATGGGGCTGTTCCTCTTCAGCACTGCCTTGGCAGCACACAAATTACAGCTTCCCTACACGCCGCCCTAAATGAAGGCTCCTGCCCACAGCCTTGGAGGAAATTCTGTGGCTGGCACCTTCCCAGCCCGCGGGTTTCCGCAAAAGCCTGCACAAAGCCAACGCTCGTGCTGTTGAAGCAGAGTGCCCGTATCCACGTGCCGCTCCTTGGGGAGATGCACTGCTGCCCACCAGGCAGGGGCTCGTAGCCGTCCTGCTGCCAGCTCACAAATACATACCTTAAATGGGAAACAGCCTCCCAGACGGAGATTTTCTGACAGATCCTGGCCCCAAGCTCTGGAGGGGACCAGAACTACTGAAGCCTTGCATGAGAAATTGCAATGCAGCACCCTCCTGCTGTCCTTCCCTGAGCAAAGGCATGTGTTGAGAGGAGAAGAAAACCCATCTTGTACCCAACGTGTTCGCCATGCGATGAAGAAGGGGCCTGGTTTGTGCAGTACCAATGAAAGATGAAGGGCACTTTGTTGGCCAGCCTCGAGCACACTGCTCCGAGCAAAGCACAGACGCAGCAAGGCCAGAGGTTTGCAGCCCAGCCCAGCTGAGCATTTGGAAGCTGCAGGCTCCTAGGCGCCTCCCTGCTGCCCAGCACCCCAATGTGTTGCACCATAGAATGGTGAGAGGTAAAAGCATGCTGCTCTGCAGAACAGAGTAGGCAGAGTTTCAAATGCTGGCCAGCCTAAAAACACGAGTCACTACTGCTCCTTGTGGCAGCGAGCGGGTCTGGGGGACTTGGAAGGCTCTCGCCCCACTGATCTCATTTAACGGCCCGTTTAAGTTCTCACTGAATTCAATGAAAAACTCCCATTGACTTCCGTGGGAAGGGTGGGAAGGGCCTTACTCCCAGTTAAAAACATAAATTCTCTTTTTCCCCAGGGAGAGCAGCTACTGCTGTAGAAGATCTACCACAGCGGAGATAAGCAAGACAAAAACTGTAATACTTTGTTTCAGGCAGTTTTGAGCATATGATTAAACCGTGGTACAAGCTGTTTGTCAATTTGCGCTCTTGGATTCTTTGTCATTCCACAGCCTCTTTCCAAGTGCCAGTGTTTAAAATGTCAGTCTTTACTTTGAATATCACTGCTCTTTTCATCTTGACTCACCACCGCCTTAATGCAGCTTGCAATAAGCAAGCACATGGATTTTTTTTCATGTTACAATGTAGTAGAGGCTTAAACTTTTAAGACAGATTTTTTTTTTTTGACTCTTTAAAGCCATAATGCTGTGAGTCACAAAAACTATGTCACACTTCGCTATACAAACACGCACACGTTTGTACTTACTCCTTTGACAACATAAAGGAGAGAGGAAGACCCAATGCCACGGCCATCCTCCCTCACAGACCGGAGCTCGCTGTGGTGTACCTGGCACGTCCACAGATCAGTGCTCTTCTTCCTCCTGAGGCAACAGGCTCTTTGGCTGGCACACATAAGCATCATGAACCCAAAAAGGAGAGCAAAAGAATGAAGTTTACATGAGGTTTCACTAATGCTATTGATTGTTACGGTGAATGAATTCACGTGCTTTAGTAGCAGACTAGTACAAAACCACAAGATAGATGTGCCGCCACTGCACGCTCATACATATACATGCATTCAGGTGCCTTTTATGCTGTCACATGAAGGCTTTTAGATTACATTCTCTCAGCAAATATATTCAATAGGCAAACACTGCTCTAACCCAAAGAATCTGATGGATTCAGAACAGCAGACAGGTGGTTATTGTAAAATCTAATTTCAAATCTGCATATGGCTGATGCTCTGATTAAGCTCTGCTTCTACAGCATTCAGAATAAACAGACCCATTTGACATGATGACAACATAACCTTTGGATGTCCTTTGCTGTGCACACTCTGTGTCTGATAAGACACATTCCATGCTTCCCACATGCAGTGGCTGCAATGCAGATGGTGAGGCTTACAAATGCAAGATTTCAACACAGAAAACAATGTAATTAACACCGTGTTCACAGATTTTTTTTATGATAGATTTCTCTTCTTACTTGTATTAATACACAATGGGAATAGCATCAGCTACATCCAGAGGATGCACTTGAATCACTACAACCAGCCCAGCAAATAGCAAAAACTACCTCCAGCATAGGAAATGAGTTCAGCAGCTTCTCAGGCAAACCAAAATCAGGACTAGCAGTATTCAGAGAGCCATGTCTGCATGTGTGCTGCCAGCCCTAGTCAAAGACTTTCAGCTACTTCATGCCTCTAAGTTAACAGAGAAGAGCATCACTCAGAAAAAGCAGAGGAAGGAAGGAAAGGAAAGAAGTCTGAGGGCTACTTCTAAGGATTTTCATCTGAATCCTGCTAAAGCAATTGGCACCGCTTCCTGCTGCAACAGGGAAAGTGAGGAGAAAAGTGGCACTGCAAGATAAGATGAGATGTCTTACTCTGCTGTTCATACGCCAGGTCCTTATCATCATTGCTTGAGCCTGCTGGAATAGCCAGCTACCACTCTGCCTAAAAATAAGACCCTTATCTCCAGAAGTTTTTTATAAATGGCAAGCCATGGTAGCTGGTGCTTCCCTGTTGCTGTTGGCAGCCCACAAAAGCCTAGATGCTCCTTTGATTGCAGGATTAGCTTTGTTCCCCTACAGCACCATCCCTCTAAAGGCATCTGAGGTTCACTCTTCCAGAGCCTTCTTTAGCAACAAGTTTGTCTCCTTGTGGTTTTCATGGAAGCACAGCTTCCCTCTGTGGTTTTCAAGGCCTTTTTTCTGCCTTGGTGTTTGTACTCTGATCAGGCATGAGATTTCATTACAAAAGCTCTGGACCACCAGGTGCAGGACTGTCCCCTGCGACCTGCACCCAGCAGAGACAGAGAGCACTGCTAGTGGCATGGCAGGGATTGATGCAGACATTGAGCAGTGAAGTGGCGCACAGCAGGGAACACAAGTGGGCAAGTACCTCTACTGGGGAGTGCAAGCCAGGCTCTGAAAAGCAGATCTGCTCCAGCTGCCAAGGTAGAAAGCAGCAAGCTGCTCACTTACTCTGCCCTCAGCTGTGTCCCAGCAGAGACTGGACCTGCCTGCCGCGTTAAAGCCCACTGACTGCGAGCCTAAACTGTTCTTTGTATTTCATCACACTCCCCTCCTCCTTTTGTGCAACGTTTCTAAGCTCTTGGCCCCTTCTGGCTCGGCACTACCTGCCCCAGGATCTTTCTCCTGTCACATCTCCTACAGCTCGTGCTCTTCCTGGCCTGCTGCTGTGCCCTCAAAGCACTCCTCTGCCTTCCCCCACAAACAGCCTCTGCTGATTCTGCATTTTCTGCGGCGCAGCTGGGTTATTAACCAGCCACCTGGCAATTCCCTAATTGGCAATACCGGTAAAAGCACATTTTTCTCTTTTCTTAAGTCTCCAGACAAAGTGGGTAAATTTGATCTAAAATGCTCAAATCCTCTTTGCCTCACATAATTTACAATGTCCTAGCTCATGCCACAGAAGTTACAGCTATTGTCTTGCACTCACACATTTTCTAGTGTGTCTTACATACATTCTGGCAGGGAACCGAATGACGCAGCATAATCTCCTCAAGCTATTTCTATAGTAAACACTGATAAAAAAAAAAAAAAAAAAAAAAAAAAAAAAAAAAAAAAAACACAGCCAAAGGGCACACAGCCTCTGAGGAAGCAGGCAGCACATATTATTTTATGAAGCCCTGGGATACAAGCTCTGCCTCAGAAGGAGCCCGTCACCACCGGGTTAAGTTGTGTTCGGTCCCATGGCGCTGCCCGCAGCCTGGTCCCCTCAGAGCGCAGCCCTCGGTGGCTTTTGGCTCCTGCAGTAGCCACTAGGCCCAAACCAAGTGTGCCAGCCAGAAGTGCTGAAGGCAAACATAAGTGCTAAGTCACACGTGTAAATATGAATTCAAGGCCACATTCTTTCACCTGCCTGATTTCGCAGTAAGGACAGGACCGTCGCAGCCTGGCCAACCTGCTGCCTTGGTGCAGCCACGGCAGCGCGAGCGTCCCATTGAGAAGGCAAAGCGCTGCCAGGCTCTTCTGCTTGGAACTCACTCCCTGCGTTTAGGCCAAAAACGCTTGGATACAGAGTATGAAAAAAGCCTGGGGTATTTTCAGACTTCCGAGGAGAGAATGCTGTATTTAAAGGAAGTTCAGTTTTACAGTTGCTTTTATAATCCGTTTTGTTTACAATTGGTTTATTCAAGCTGCATGGCTGCAGAGTTAGCTGCTAGATTTCTTTTCCAAGCTCCCATTTCTAACTGTTTGCAGACACAGGACAGAGCTATTTTTGTAATATAAATCATTAGAGGGAGAATATCTCACAGTCCCCACTGAAGCAAATTCCTAAGGAAGTGAAATCTATTTTTATACAAAAATTCTATTTAGTGTTTATTTTAATACAATGACTGAGAAGCAAGCACCATTGGCCTTTCTGAAGCAGAGCAGCAGTGTCCCCGCTTGCTGGCAGCACAAGGGACATGCTGCCAGCCCGAGGGAGCTGCAGAGCTGGGCTCCCTACCCCTTGGACACAGCACAGCACTGGTGAGAGGGGCAGAGCAAACGGGGAGCTGAACCAAAGTCCCAGGGTTGTACACCTTTAGAGAGGAAGATGCTCAAGATAAGTCAAGTCTTAAAAGTGAGAGTATCTTCTACAACAGCCAAGATGTGTAATTTTATAGAATAAGGCAAACTCGGTCTCTCATGCACTCAAGGTCATCTCTCTGGGACTCAACAATAAAATTGTAAGACGAATGCTGAGAGTTTGAGTTACACTAAAAATTCACAGAGGACTTATTCTAGAAAAACAGTTTCATCCCCTGCAAGTTCTTTCATATAACTGTGCTGTGACTCTTCCTATTTGATTCACACTAATAAATCACATCTTAAAATATTTGTTTCCTAATCACATGAACACTAAAAACCGTATCAAACCTAACAGAGGAGGGGGAGGAATTGGCATCTACAGCTTTCCCCTTTCCAACAGCGGCCTAGAGATGCAAGTTAGCACAGAAACAGATGTGGTCAAATGCAGTTTCTTCAACTAAATCAGCAGGGCTTTTTAACTGAGCCCCAGGGCTGTACAGCTGTAAAATGCAGCAAAAATTATCCAGTAACATTTAAATACGGCTGCTAAGAGAAAAGCTTTTAAGTTATGAAGCAAATGACCAAAACAGAAGAAAAGAGATTGCTTAAGGGCTTAGGAAAAAAAACAAAATCAACAGCAATGAAACCAGCTTCTGAGCCGCGAAGGAAGAGCTATAGAGATGAGTTTAGGATCATTTAGTTGCAAATACTAAATCATCATTTGTAAAAACATGCCTGTGTCTTCTTCACAATTCAACAGGTTCAAAAGGGCAGGACTGTTTTTATTGCAAAAGGCTCCTTTTACAATCATCCTGTCACACCAGCAGAGACCATTACATCTGGTTTTCCCATCTCATTAAGCAGATGTGCAAATACTGTATCACACAGTAGACCTTAACTTGGTGGGTTAAAGGGGTAATTTGTATTCTAAAGCACTGCAATGCTGTGGTTAAGAAATACATGGAATTACTGAATATTTCTGGCTTGGAAGGATCTTGGTTTCATCCATCTTTTTCTGTTATTCAGTTCTTTCTCCTTATACCCCCTTCCTAGGAGTTTTCCTGCAGTGTTTTTACTAGAACATAGCTTAGCTGATGAGGAAGGCTTCAGTCCAGCTACAGGGAACCAGCAGAAACAAACCAAGCCCCTTCTGAACTAAAGTTTCCTTCTCATGAGGAATCTCTTCTCTGGACATAAATGGAAGCCAAAATCACCATGCAGAGGAACACGCTGTGCTCATTGCAGACCAGATTCAGACCCATACTTTGAAAGGAAACCTGTCTTCATTACAGACTGAGCCAACATCATATACAACAGTCTGCTAAAACCCAGGTCATAAAATATGTCCTTGCTGCTGGGTGTCTGGCTGCAGATACCTGTTTTAAGGATTAGACAGTAGCACTTTTGATCTTGGTTTTGGCCCCTGGATTACATAGGCAGCAGCACACCTCGTTCCTCCTCCCATCTGGGACTCTGCAGCTGATGAAGGGATGCTGTTGGGAAAGATGTCTGATGCTGAGGGACTGTCCTGGCTCCGTGCAGGCACGGGCTGGGCCCCATCTACCATCCCATCCTGTCATGCCAATATTTCAAACACTATCACCTGCCATCAAGGATGACTGATTGCATGCCCCACTGCCCTCAGAAGGGCACTTTATGGGAGCCATGTATTGCACCAGCCCTAGGGCACAACGCTTGCTTGTCTCCCTCCCTGCAGCATCTCTTCTACAGTGTTGAACTGGGGACCTAAGTAGCAGCACAAATCAATTTCCAAGAAGGAAAAAAAAATTAATCCTATCTCATCCTGACCTCCTCCCCTGCTGGAAGAAACGTAGCGACTGTAGGCAGAGCACGGTCACCATCTTGTCTCTCCTCTGGGATGCCATTAAAAGGTTATGAAAATACTGTGCGGGAGGGAGAAGGGAGTTATTTTCTGCTCCCCTCTCTGCAAGGGCCTGCCTCCTCCACAAGTCCTGACCCATCACAGAGGGGGAAAACTGCTGAAAACCAACTCCAGTGACTCTCAAGGAGCAAAGGCATGCCAGGGCAGCAGATCACTTGTGAGCCTGTATTCAATCAGAGCACTGTGCTACCCACCCAAAATTAATTTTCTGTGCCACTCGCATGCTTCTAGCACAACATCGCACTGTCTGTGTGTGTGCTGTCACCCACTTATGTATGAGGGGACCAGGGAGCAGAGCAGGAGAATGTCAAGGGCAGCTGTGTTTGCCAACCACTGAGAGCAAGAATTTTTATTCAAATAAAATACCAGTGCACTTGTAGATACTATGCACGAGTAGCTACTCCAGTGATGGTCTAACAAACAGATACTCAAACTGTCGGGCTCCTAGAGCCCTTGGATATGAAAGTCTCGTTATAAGTGTTATTATCGACCAAAAAGGTGAACTTTGCCTCTGAAGCAGCCCTTCCTCAGGCAGCAGGTGGCAGAGCTGGGGGAACAATGCTTTCACCAGGTGACATTTCAGATGGCAGGGAGCAGCTCAGACCACAATCTTCTTCTACAAAAGCGACAACCCTTGACAGCTTTGGCTGAAGAAGTTTGTGCAAATCACAGGCAGCTCTCAGAAGCGCTGCCACTTTCCCTGGCAAGGGCAGACTCTTCTGGTGACAGCTGGGTTAGCTGCAGCTTGCTCCAAAGTGATGCACCTGCCTCCTCCTTGCAGCAAAGCTGCTGCTACCCCTGCATTCCCCTTTATCTCGCCATCTCCCCTCTAGCTTATCTACATGGATATTTCTGTTGTCACTCTGAGTTGGATACTAATTTCATCCCACAGCATCTCATTATAATTAGCTCTTAATTGCCACTAAACAAAGAGATCATTTTGGAAGTCTGTAACAATCTTCCTTGAAGAATTATTTGAGCATTGAACGCTAATTATGTGCCCCATATGCCCCTGTAAACATTGTGGATAATGAGAACTATTTCAAGAGGAAAATTTAAAGTGCTGTTACTCACACAAGCTCTGGAGGCCTGCGTCGTCTCCGTGGCTCTCAGGTGAGCATGGGCTGCAGTGTGAGCCCGCAGACCTCGCCCAGAGCAATGTGTTGGTCTCTTGGAGACCTCGTAGTGTTTGCAAGGCATAGACCACACCAGTCAGGGTGTTTTGTGACCAGCCTCCCTTCCTCTGATGCCCACCATGTCTTTATACTGAAAGCATGAACATTTCAAGGAGCACCTGTAAAACACGAGGGGTAAACACCACGGGCAGTTGCACTGCCCTTATGGCATTGCTGCTGCTGTTGCAATTGGCACTCTCAGCCAGGTAAAAGCATGCAGAAAATCCTGAAGACTTGGCACTTCAGGGCAAGCAGCCACTCAAGGAGCAAAGAGAGAAGCAGACTGTCAGAAGAACCTCGACATCATCCTTTGGCAGATACAAAAGCTTTGTCTAAGACTTGCTTTGTTCCTGAACAAGTTAAACTCCTGCAAGATTTGAAAACCAACCGGATGCAATTTGACAAATTCCTACCAAGAACCACTGCCTTTTCCAGGCAGGAATTACAACAAAGTGCCAATCAGCTTTATTTAGTCACCTACCTACCGCAGCAACAGCGAGATGGCACAGAGAGGAGACTGGTACTATTTTGCTCTGCCTCACATTCCCCATGCCTCTTAAACCAGTCACCCTACGAAGAGCTGGTTTAATGTGTGGTTGTAGATCTCTGGAAAATACCACACTGAAATAAAAGTACAGACTTGGGTTTACGGTTTGTCAGAGTCTACTGATGTGCTCTTCTTTCCCCCCAACCAATCCTTTAAAAAAAAAAAATAATAATAATAAAAAAAATCAGGAGCTTTTGTTAGTTTTGTTAGGGTCCGGATGGTTGGTGAGCTCAGATAGCTTCTGGGAAAATGCTTCCAGGCTCTGCACAGAAATACTTTTTGGAGAAGTGCCCATGATTCAGAATCCTGATGACTAGCAAGTTTCTCCTTTTTCAATTGCACTTAAACAAGCCT